AATTTGAACGGGAGACCACTTGGATTCTAATCTGATACGGGGGTTTTCTTAATGAAATGAACAGGATGTGCAGTGGGGGAAATCCACGATGGTCGGAGCCGAACGCCGCCTACTAGCCAACGCGCTCCTCGACTTCTCCAACGAGAGATTCGTACTGCTGTCCGAATCCTGCATCCCGCTGTACAACTTCACCACCATCTACAACCACCTCATCAACTCCCCGGAGTCCCACGTGGAGGTCTACGACCAGCTGGGCCCGGTGGGCCGCGGCAGGTACAACCCGGCGATGGACCCGGTCATCAAGCTGGCCCACTGGCGGAAGGGTTCCCAGTGGTTCGAGATGGACCGCCGGCTGGCCGTGGAAGTGGTCTCCGACCGAACCTACTTCCCGACTTTCGAGAAGTTCTGCAACGGGTCCTGCTACGGGGACGAGCATTACCTGCCCACGCTGGTCAACATTAGGTTCGGGGGCTGGAACTCCAACCGGACCTTGACTTGGGCCGACTGGTCGGTTCGTGGGCCGCACCCGAGGAGCTTCTGGAGGCCCGACGTCACGGTTGGGTTCCTGGAGGGTTTGAGAGACGGGGGGAAGTGCGAGGAGTACGGGAAGAGCGTCGGCGTCGCCGCCGGGGGAGGAATAGGAGTTCATTATTATGTAAATCGTAACAATAAGAGTGACAGTAGTGGTGGTACCGGCGATAGGGGATCAAAGTGCTTCTTGTTTGCTAGGAAGTTCCGTTCTCATTCTCTGACTAGGTTGTTGAGGTTTGCTCCTGGTGTTATGCAATTTTAGTTTGTAATTAGAACTTAGAAGTACGGTTTGAGTAATTTGATTCGAGGAACACCCCATGTCGGTTATGGTCGAATGGCTCTGATGAATAGAATTCTACAATTTGTTTTTGTAACATTGTACTTAAATGTAAATAATTATAAATTGAGGGACTGCGTTGTGATAGAGTAGACGAAGGAGTAGTGGTTGGCAGCAATCAACACGGGAAGGATACTTAAGGTATCCGTTGTAGTTTGTTAGGGGTATTAGAAAATACAATAACGAACCCTCACCCCCCCTCCTTCTCTTCTCCCATGCCTTATCTTATCTGCAATTCTTCTTCTTCTTCCCAATTCCTTAGCTCTGGTGATCCCGAGTGTTACAACGTAGTACCAGAGCACAACTCGACACCTCAGACAAACGCTGCTCACATAACTCAGATGGACGAGCGTATGCTCAAGCTTGATCATCTCTCAGCCGGAATGGATGGTCATTTGGCAGTGATGGAGGTGCAGGTCACTGAAATTGCGAGTGAGTTGAGGTTCTTCAGACTAGGGGTGAACTGCATATGTTTCAGGCTTTGACGACGAGAGAGAATGGTTACTCGCAGCATTTGGCGATGATCGTAGCTCAAAATCGTGGTGTTAAAACTCAATTGGATGAATTTGAGGCTCAATTCAGAATTCTTTATGGTCAAATTACTCAATTGACCGGTCAGGTAGCGACGATGATGCATCTTCTCCAGAATCTTCAGTATCCGAGCCACATCTTATCGGTGATTGGACCTCCTCCGGTGCCAGTTAGCTGTAACGCGAATCCTGACATTCTTCCTTTGCCTATGGTTCAGGAAATAATGATATAGAAAGTGAGGAATTTTTTCTGTCTCGACGTAAACACTAAGGGAGCCTGCTATAAGTGAGTGGAGCATTACTTTTATGGTCATGTGTGTGAAGTTGCTAAGAAACAGTTCAATGCATTGCAAGCTGAGGATGAGGAAGTGATTGCACATCATCCCTGGTGTGATGATGAAGATTATGAAGATGTTAACGATGAGATAGTGCCTAAACCAGTGGAGGTGACTATGCAAGCATTGAGTAGTGGCAGAATGGTAATTCTCTAGCAGTTCAAGGAAGGGTGAGGAAGCATCGATTATTAATTTTTTTTTATAATGATGAAAATAAATTAAAAAAAAAAAGAAACAGAGTCAAGGCCAAAACGGCCAGAAAACTGAAACAAGAAACAAAAGGGAAGGTGAAGTCCATCACAAGGCATGAAAGGACTCAAACCAAAACCAAAACCCGCCTGCAAACTACAGCGTCAAAATCAAAACCCGCCTGCAAACTTTCAGAGGAAGAGGATTCAAGTCAAGGTGGAGATTTGTTGATGTGACTTGAATCGGACTATCAGCCACTACGACTGGTAATCGGGTTCTGGGCCTGGTCTGTAACCGTTTCCTTTGCCATATTGGATTAGGTTTAGACCCACATGGAGAAGTACTATAAATACTTCTCATACTCCTCTGTAATCTGTAATCTCCTTCATATAGTGAAACTGGCTCTCTCTCGCCCGTGGACGTAGCTAACACACATCGTGTTAGTGAACCATGTAAATCGTGTGTCGTGTTTTCGATTCTCGCTTTCGTATTCTCGCTTTGTCGATTCCGGCGATTTCCCGATCCGTAGCAGCGCGTTTATAACACCAACCATCGAGCTTGTTTTGAAATTTCCCAATGATCGGATCCCAAATGGCCGAGGAGTTTGGCCTAGCACCAAGAGGGAATCCGAGGTATTTGGGAGGGTCTTTGCTCCATCTGCACCCGAAAATATCAACAGAAAAATTTGGTTCCGGAACGTCACCTACTGTATACATCATTGATTTATCAAGGTTGATCCTTAACCCCGTGACCGACTAAAAACATACTAAAGTCACCAAGATGCTTAGAACTTGATCAACATTAGCGTCACAAAATATCAAAGTATCGTGGGGATAGTTATCTTTTAAAGTATGAAATTGTAACATTTCTTTATAGTAGAAGAGTCCCAGAAAGTTAGGGGTATTGAGTTTTTGTTGTAGTGTTACAAAGAAGGAACTACTAAAGAACTCCGATCAAATTCCATTATAGCATTTTCTGTAAGTTGTTCTAAATGTTGTTTTTTGTGGGTTTTAGGTAAACCAAATGTAACAACAATATGTCATTGGTTATTACTTTTGCGGATTTCGCAAATTACAAACGTATTTTAAGAATTCAATTCCTACTCATTACCTTGTGTATTACTTAATATGGCTAAAATTGTATCCTATTAAGTCAAGAATCGAGAATCCATAAATGAAGTCTAGACATCTCGACTAATAAACATCTTTAGCAATTGTGTGCAAACTTCAAAAACTTTCATAATCGAAAACAAGGTTCTCAACCCGCGGGTTGACCCGGACCCGGTTGAACTAGTGGGTCAAGGGTTAATGGGTCACCCATTTTAGTCTGGTTTAGTCCGGAAATATGGAAAATGTCATTATATTATACTTATCCTGATAAATTATATCAAATCTCATCTAACATATGAGTTATAACATATAATATTACATCAAAATAACATGTCGTACTTAGATTCAACATATAGTGAAAATTCACACACACTTATATAACATTAATATTCAAATGTTCAACTTAGGATTCCAAAGATTGAGTTCGGCGAAAAGAAAAAGAGGAAAATAGGCGCATTTTCCAAAACAAAGAAAAAAAATAATACAATTTGACCTCCAACCCGGTACCTTGTAGCGGTCGACCCGGAGGGTGCATGCGGCCCGTTTTTCTCACCGGATCAGAGTCAAAGCGGGTCGACCCGCGGGTGACGACCTTGATCGAAAGGCTTTTGACAAAAATACCATTTAATGAATAATACTTTTATTATCGGCCAAACCAATCGAGTATAGTTAGTGAAATACATACATAAAAAAAAGGTAAGAGGATTATCTCGTACAAACATTATACTTCAGTGGTATGATTGGTAAATTACCAATGTCGTGCGGTGAAGCTTTAGAGAATAGGAGTCATCACTCATCATCATCATATTCATAGGAGCGATTAGGCTTTCGCAATCACATGTTAGCCTAGGTCACTCCGCGAAGGCACGAACCGTTTGGATAGAAGATGCACACAACGTTTCTTGAGCCGTTCCCAGAACTTTCCCCAATTAATTACTGTTGTTTGTTTTTATTATTATTCATCCCTTTGTTTCTATCTCAAAGGAGACCCCAAGACAGCATCCTCGTTATTAATTGTTGTGAATAAATAAATAAATAAATAAATAATAATAATTAAAACGAAGAAAAAACTCATCGTCTCCAGGTTGGTGGACCCGTCGTATAACTACCATCTTTGCCATCGAAATTACGCCCATTCCTACCCAGCAACACCAAACGAACCTTACCTTGCCTTTGCCTTCCCTTGCCTTTGCCTTCCTCCCGTCGTCTCATATAGATCCATTAGTCCTCTTGTTTTTCGCATCAACTTCTCTCTGTTTTCCATTTCATATCTGGGCAGCAATTCATTCATCAAAATATATGGCTTCCAAGAGGTGGTTCATTGACGATCATGCTGATGATGACGACGAGCCAGCTGCACCAGGATCCGACCCGGAAGGACACCACCATCAGCCCAGCGACAAGAGGATCCGAACCACTTCTACTCCTTCCTTTGCATCGTACGAAAGAAGACCCTCCATCCCGGCATCCCCTGATGCATAACTAGCTTGCTTATAAAAAAACTAACATAGTAATAGAGTTTTTATTTTATTTTATGTTGTTGCTGCGCGCAGAGTGATCGGAGAAGCGGTTATGGTGAACTCACTGAAGCACCTCTGTATGGCCCTCGAGCCCGTGCTCCGAAAAGTGGTACGTTGTAACATCAATCCATCGCCTCATTCATCACTGTACATATATTCAAGTAAAACACACTCATCATCATCAGCATCATCAGGTGAAGGAGGAAGTGGAGAAGAGTCTTAGCAAGAGATGCTCCGCGGCCTGCTCATCACCATCATCATCATCTTATGATCACATGCAAAATCATCAACCCGTGGAGCCGCCGCCACAGCCAGCGTCACCACCATCTGGTCTCCAGCTGGTCTTCAGCAGCAAGCTGTCCCTCCCGATATTCACGGGGACGAAAATAGTAGACGCCGGCGGCTCTCCTCTCCAAATCCTCCTGGCCGACACCGCCACGGGGACTCGGATGGATAACAAGGTGAAAGTGGAGATCGTGGTTCTGGACGGGGACTTCCCGGAGGAGGATCGCAGCAGCACGGCGTGGACGTCGGAGGAGTTCGGTAGGAACGTGGTGAAGGAGAGGACGGGGAAGCGGCCTTTGCTGGCGGGGGATTGCTTGACCTTCACGCTACGTGACGGCTGCGCCTCGCTTGGGGAGATCGAGTTCACTGATAACTCGAGCTGGATACGGAGCAGGAAGTTTCGGATCGGGGCTAGGGTTGTTCGTGACGGCGGCCGAGGTTTGAGGGTTCGCGAGGCCATGACTGAGGCGTTCATAGTCAAAGATCATCGTGGAGAATGTGAGTGTCATTTATTTATATCTCTCTTTACGAATCCATCTTTACATATTTCCCTACACTCTATCGATCTGATATTTATCATCTTTCAATAATGCATATGATTTAGTCATGTAGAATTTGATGATGCGGAAGTGAAATAACATACGGGACACAAGATTTTACGTGGTATCTTCGATCGATTGATTGATCGAGACTAATCCACGGTGAGCTCATAAGAGGTCACGAATGATCTCTTATTAGGATTACATTTTGACGGCTTGCTATCACACAAGTCGATAGCTAAGCTTACATAGATAAACTTAGGGTTAAAACAAAACCCTAATCCAACGAATCAGACGAGGCCCATCAAGGCCCAATACTAACACGATTTAAGTAACCGCAACAAAACATGCACGCAAATTAAAGTCATACATATATTGATGATTCGCAGAATCTAATAACACATTCCTACAATCCATAGTGTTCATTTTGTTCTTGAAACATCGAATATATATTCTGTCATGTGAATCAATGAGTTGTTTTCATAGAAAAGTGATGTACTTAAAAAAAAGTGCAGATCCTTTAGTAGCTAAAAACTAAACACCATTAAAATTCATACGACAATTGAGATAATGTTTTGTACTCAACCGTGAACGAAAACTTGCAAATTGTGGCCTTTTTGTTTCGATTTCCAAGTGACAAGTGTGGTTATGAGGATCACACAGCACCCACATAAACAATTCCTATGTAAGGGTAAACTACCTATTCAAACTTTTGGGTAGCTTGAGAGAGTGAGGTAGGAGGATGAGAAGAATAAATCTTGATCGTAGGAGAGCTAACATACACTGAAAGTAGAGCTAACATAGTTTTTGAATAACATATGAACAGTGCTCCACTAAAAATAATTCCAAACTTTTCAATATCTTTGAGAAGGAGAAACAAGTTCATCCAATAATAGTGCAAAATACTTGTAATCATAGCTCAATAATTTTTCTCTACAATCACGGATTCTCTCTGTGATCTTATCCATCAATACTTTGCAATCACGCCTTGATAATTTCATGTAGTTAAAGGAACTCCCAAATAGACTACTATCAGCCCACCCAGAAGAAACTCAATAGAGGAAGAGATACCATGCATTTCCTCCCGAGATATGCCACCATACAATACAACCGAACTTTTGAGGGATCACAACAAAGTTCATTAGCCTATAAAATTCCTCCAAAAGTCTGATAATACTAGCTACTCTTAGGGATGGCAATCAAATCCATGTCCACGGATATCCGACCGTCCTCCACCCAGTCAATGTGGGGAATCCACGCATTGATCGGGTATGGGGCGGGTATAGGTAAAACCCGCAAAAAGTTTGATGGGTATGGGCGGGTATGGTTTTAGCCTCCCCGCCCTATACCCATACCCATACCCGCCCCACCAAAAATATTTCTTCATATATGAAAAATATGTGAATCAATTTGTAACATATCAATAATAGTGAGTATAACTCAAGAAAAATATATAGTAGAAATGCAATTGAGTGACCGCCCAAATCAAAATTTAATTTCTTTCTCTCAATTTTCCCTTCACTCTTTCACTTTTTTCCCCTTGTTAAGAAGATTATGTTAGTTAATTATTACTTAATAGATGTATCAGAGTAGAGAATAATGATTTGGATGACATTGTACTCTACTCTGATATGGATTATTGGATGCTTTAGGATAAGATGCTTTGAATCGTATTAAATATGATTGTCTCTTTGTCGACTTCATTATATAGTATGTGTGTTTAATGTTATAATTGAAAATCTACATGTAAAATATTCTGTATTATAATGTTGGATGTACGGGGCATGTATTACCCATGGGTACCCGAAATCCATGGGTATGGGGATGAGTTTGCAAATCCTTCCCTCGCATGGGTATGTGGCTGGTATGGGTATAGATATTTGAAAGCGGGGATGGGGATTGTTTAGGCAAACCCGCCCCATTGCCATCCCTAGCTACTCCTCTTATTCATCCATTAGTATAAACTAACATATCATCAACAAAACATAGATGGGTAATGAGCAATTGCTTGCAACATTGATGGAAGTGAATCTTATCATCTCTAGCACCCATTTCGAACAAACACGAGAACTTCTTCTATCTCCCCACTATTGCCCATTGTGAAAGAAAGGAAGCACCACATCCTATACTTCTCTGCTAATTATGTGCCACACATACTTATAGAACTCTATTAGGAATCCATTGGGATCAAGTGTCTTATCCAAATTCATTACATAGGCACATTCATTACAAAAAAGACCTTGATTTCTTCCTTTGTTTACTTAGTCTCCAACTCCCTAGAATCTTCAAGTATCAACTTGTATTGAAATTTGAAACATATCCTAAAAGAAATCAACTGAATTATGAACTTTCACCATTGAGTTCACCAATCATCTTCTTATAAAACTCCAATAACACATTGCTAATATCTTGTACATCTATGACCACGATCACTCTAGCTTCATTAAGCCAATTGTGTGATGCCTTTTAGTGAGAATTCGTATTGCTTTATGGAAGACAAACATATTAACATCACCTTCTTTTACCTACCGAACTCAAAAATTTTGTTTATAAAAAATACCTCTCAACATACTTTACCATCTTCAGAATCTTGCCCAATTAACTTCTCTTTCAAATATTCATAGATCTCCAAATAATACTTAGCTTTGTCTCATATTAATTCTCAGTTTTAATAAAGTGGAAAACTTAGAATAAAATTCATATATTGATGTGAGCGTTGAGATTGAACGAGGCATAATTCCACTTATTAAGAATAAGTCTTGAACCTACGTAACTTCCACTTCATTTTTCTCTCACTTTCATGTCATTTTCAATACGAATATAAGATGCAAATGTCGGGTAAGTATTGATGTAGAAAACCAAGTTTAATCAATTAATCTTGTCATCAGTAATTAAATATTTTTATAATGAAAGGATTACAATTTTAGTAGGTTTTCCTACTGATGAATTTAATCTTGTCATTATTAATTTAATGTTTTTATAATTAAATGTCATGAGAACATTTTCATCATGCCTCCATATCGATTCAACAAATTTTAACAAAATATCTTATAAACTTATGAAGGGATTTGTAATTGTAATGTCTATTTAAAATTTACAAGTTTTTTGTTAGATTATTTACGAATATTATGTAGTATATACATGTAATTTGGAATGACCTTAGTAATAACACCTTCTCCTAGCCTCTAACAAGTTGAGTTAGTTTTATATACAACTGCTGACACGAGTCAATATTTTATTCGATTCAACTTGATTCTTAAAACGTATGGATCTTTGAATATGTACTAGTGTACAAGAAGCATCACCCCCCGATGCTGGAGGATGAAGTGTGGCGGCTAGAGAAGATCGGGAAAGACGGGGCTTTCCATAAGAAGCTCGCTGCCGAAGGCGTCAATTCCGTTCAGGACTTCTTGAAGCTCTCTGTCGTCGACCCGTTAAAGCTCAGAAAGGTAATTAAGCCAACATTATCAAAACTTTAACGATTTGAAAATGTGATGATAATTCACTTCAATTGTGCTCTCGTCTTGTGGGATTAGATGTTGGGGGCTGGAATGTCCGACAAAATGTGGGAAGTAACCATAAAACATGCGAGAAGATGCGAGTTGGGGAATAAACATTACATCTACAGAGGGCCAAGCTATTGCCTCACCTTAAACCCTATCTGCCAAGTCGTCAACGCCACTATTAGCGGACAAGATTGCTCCAACCTTGACATTTCTGGTATCAACAAAGTAAGTTCCCTCCAGTAAATGTACACCTTGTTTCAAGAACAACATGAAATTTGTTTTTTTTTCTTTTGACATAACCTTTTACTTTGTTAGCTTTATATCGAGAACTTAGTAAGGCAAGCATATACAAACTGGCATGACCTACAAGAGGTCATTGGAATACCAAGTGACGTTGCATCGCTCAATCAAGGTATCTATTTTTTATGCTTAAGACTTATGATAGATTATCCTTCTTTACTACATGTCATTATGTTATATCAACACTTAGTGTGATTGCCTTTTGGACATTGAGTAGATTATGAGTTATTACAAGTAAGGTGATGGATCAATATTAAATGATTATGATTTATTACAGGTGAGGTGATGGATCAATACCCTAATCATCATGATCATCAAGAACAACAACAACAACAGCCGCAACAAGAACAACATCATATCGTGGCGAAACCGATACCATTATCATTTCATCATCAATACAATCTAGGCATGGGTGGATATATGGAGCTAGGGGGAATAATCCAGCAACCATCTCATCAACAGCAAATCAATACTATCGAGCAACAGCAAGGCAACATGAGCAACAACACTAGTAATAATAACAATAATAGTTGGCATATCAACTCTTCATCATCTTACCATCCCCATAATCAGCAGCTTGTCTCGAATGTTGCATCCCTTGAACCAGTAGATGAGGGTCTGCGCCACACTGCATCAAATCCATCCTTGACTGATGGTGAGATTGCCAACTTCTAGTCTTATAGGGCATGACTTGGCTCGCCAGTACAGATACATACAAAACTATATGATCTGCAATCATCGTAATTTAATTTTGCAAACCATGACATGGTCGAAAATTTTTCAGGAATCTATGATGGGTTGTCATAGTGAAGAGATTATGAAGGTTTAAAGCATAATTAGACATCTTCAATACTCTATGTGGTTTCATAGGTCTACCATTTATCATCTTCTAGATTGCAGGCTAAGCTCTATTTTCTTCAGATGTTGTTAACCAACTTTAAATCTTCTCCCATTTTCAATAACTCAAATAAATCATAAAACTATACCTCTACCAATAGTTTTTATATGAATGAATTGATTTTGTTAAAAAGGAATCTGGAAGCAAAAAGGTGTAGGGTGAGAAACTAAACTTACAATAAATTTATTTGCTGAAATATAATTTTGTCATATTATCAAATATTGATAGAAATACATAGATTCATCTTGGTTAACATTTAGAGACTTTGTACGAAATTTGAAAGCCAATATGGTATTGGACAATACCCCTAGCACACTATTAATGAGGTTTTCTTAAATTTCTTCTTTAGGATTTATTTAGTCATAATCTACTGAACATCCATAAATGACCACTGTAGACCAAAAATACTATCCAAACTAACACCCAAAATAGTAATATGGTCATGGAAAGTTGTAAGTGTTAAAAACTTAATATTTGGATTAATGGGTTAGCTAGCATAAGTTATGTTCTTATTGTTTAATAGTAACTTGTCTATTTTAAACGTTCTCTTCAGCTACCTAGTACTTTATGTCAATGGCATTTTATTTCTGGAATCCTATAGTAAAAGATAGTGGATCACTATCGGAGCATTGCCACTATGAACCTTTAACGACTTATCATTGTTATTACAGCAAAAAAAAAAATTCCCTAGAAATAACATAAAATGGAAACTACAAGTTATGAGCGTGTTTTGATGTAGAGTTCTTGTTGTCTGGGCATACTGCAACATGAGACTCAGAGTACTTGATGATCTCTTATAAGTTGGCATGTATTCTTTCATCATATTTAGTAAATGCATCACATGCTTGAAATCTTCCATAGTGTTTATTCATAGCTAACCCAAATATCTGCCAAGTACTCTTAACTATAAATGATATATCCATATGAGAACCAACTGAAGCATACATTAGATTCCATAATGTTGAAATTAATGTATAAAATATCTTATGCACCTCTATTGTTTCTATACCACTATTGGAGAATTGAATGAAAGTAAGCCCTGTTATTACAGTTTTGTTGTTGTTGTATTCTTGTGACAATAAAGGTACAACCAAAACACTATGGAAGTGGAAAACAAAAACACGTTTAGTTGGTAATTCTGAGAAACTTTTGAAGTTGAGGATTTTTTATGTTTTGTTACTTCATTAGGCTCCATTTAGTATTAATATTGAGACTAAGGAAAAATTACAAAAATAATGGGAGGAATAGGACAGCATGACGAGTTACGAGAAAAATATATGAAAATAATATTGACAATAAGATTTGGGGAAGAGTTATGCAAAAATAGAGAGAAAATATATATGCTAAAAGTGAGTCTGTTATTATTTGATCAATACACTTTTGAATGAAATTGTTACAACAACTTATAGGATCCCACGAGAAATAGCTTTGGAAACAAAAAGGAAGCTACTTAAAGTTTTTCAATCTTCTATGTTAGTTTCTATTGTATTACCAACTCCTGTTGCGACAAAGCCATATGAAAACATAACTATAAATATTTTCAGCCTCTATTTGTGAAAATAGAAAACAATAATTGAAAATGATACTAAACATGGCCTAAAATGCATCACGTAGCTGCAACAATCTTTTATTTTACTATTTTTTTTTTTGTGTAGTCTACTTAAATCTATTATTTTTTGCTACGAATGATTGCCCACACTACTTGGCTTGGACAGAGGCTGGGAGACCAGTAGGGTACTTAGAGAGGATACACAAGCATCCAGGCTATGGCGCTCACCATCCACACCACCACAACAGTTCGGAGGATATGGAGCTGAGATTTCATCTTTAAGAATAGTACTCGTGGATAGTGATGGCAATGGGACGGAGCGGGGTGGGTATCTCAATTCCCATGTTCTGCCCTACGCTACTATGGGTCCGGCTGGGTAAAACCAGCGCGGGTATGGAGCGGGGCGGGTCGACTCATTCTTACATGTTATTTAGAAAAGATACACGCAAATTTTACTTTTTACGATAAAACAAAGAGAAAACACTTTATGAAAAGAAAAATGTTGATGATAAAATGGGTAATTGAGTCTAAGGCTGACTCCAATGCTGCCCCATAAATGGGGGATCCTTCATAAATGGAGGAGGAAGCTCTCCAATGCAACCTGCAAAAAAGGAATAAACTCTATAAATGGGGGTGGCCTCCATTTGGGTCTCCAAATATGGAGGAGGAAATGGGGGAGTCTGCAATTATGGGGGCTGATGGGGGAGGAGATTGGGCTGGGGCGGGACAACCGCGGCTCTCCCGCGCGCGTGCGCCGCACCGCCCGTCCCTGACGGTTGTCCCGCCCTTCTTCTTTTTTTTTAATTTTTCATTAAGTGTTTTATTAATGATGGTTATATAATTAATGAGTGAAGGTTAGTGAATTAATGTTTGTATTAATTAAGGGAAGGTTTTCTATTTAATTTGTGTTTAATAGTTTGGTTAATTTATTTTATTTTCTAAGATGATTTAAATTGAATTCATTTTATTTTATTTAAAAAAATTCGGTGTCGAAATTTGAAAAAATTCTATCGGAAAATTTGTATCTTAAAATAATGACGAACTATACAAAAATTAAGATTAACGAATTATATTAAGGCTTCGATAAGTGCATTTTTAAGTAAATGTAAACATGGATAAAATAGAGATCCCCAAATTTGAGGTTGGTAGCATTGGAGCCAATTTGTGAAAAATGGGGGCAATCCCCAAATTTGGGGATGAAGGTCCCCAAATTTGGGGTCTTGCATTGGAGTTGGTCTAACAAGTTGAAATATCAACTCTAACTAGTTAAATAAAAGTCAAAATAGGAGAAATATGTATAGAGACCGTAAGAAATTGAGATAAAATGGGTCTAGAATGGGGCGGGGCGGGTCGAAAGTAGATACCCATGTCCCCCCCCCAACGCTGCTACGGTTCAGGTAATACCCGCCCCATTGCAAGTCAGGTCGGGTAATACCCGCGGGGCAGGTTCAAATTGCCATCACTACTCGTGGAGAGGCAGGAGGAGAACTTCCATCCGTACCAGACATTGAAGAAGCAGCACAAGGATTTCTTTGAGCAGGAGAGACATACAGAGTGTTAGGAGACTCAAACTTGGAGACAAAGAGTACAGTTAGCGCAGTAGTGGGGCCATGCATGGTTGAAGGAGTTCGACGAGAAGTTTGGTACCCACTTCCCCGACAATGGACCAGGAGGAAGCAACAAGTAGAAGGTTGAAATTTTGAGGAACTATCTTTTCTTTTTAATTTAAACATTTCGAGTCTTCCTATGTTACAATGGAGAAATAGCTGCTACAATTTTAAATTTAGTACGACATTCAAGGTAACTCATTCCTACCTTCTCATGGCTCGCTATTTTTTAGTCCATTGAGGACAATGTCCATTTTAAAGTGTGGGGTGAGAATGTGTTGAGATGCTTCGCCTTGATATGCTATATACTTGCTACATGATTAGTCGTTCAAATTTCAAATTTTCTGATGCTAAATAGTTATGATATGTACCTACCTAAGTTTTTGAAATTTCTGAAGATGTTTTCCATCGAATGACTTTTACTCATCCCCTACAACCATGATCACTTCTCATCTTACTTTGAATCAAAGAGGCTAGTAATCATCACTTGATATAGGGTGGATACTGTAGTGACTATGAAGGATGCGATCGTCAATGAGATAAAATGACCATTTGATATGTTTGGATGCTATGTTGTTTGATCTATTCATAGATTTCTTATTATGCAAACGGTGAACTGTATCATCTAAGAAAATTCAAAATCTAACTATCAAGACGTTATCATTCAAAATTTGTCATGTTATGTTGTAAAATAAAGTGTGGGGTAAGCCCAATGTGTGAGGCATCTTTTCATTGCTAAAAATTGGGTTATGGAAGAGATATTAGTTAAGCGTTAGTGGAAGGCCTACAAGGTGATGTTATTCCTATCTAGTACAAGTAAAATTTTCACTCATTAAATTGATACCTAACGCGATGATGTATTTTTAAGGGCACAGATAAAACTTCTGACACCTCTTAATTTAATTGACCCTCTACACGAATTGAGGTGTAAAAGCTTCTAGCTCTTGCTCAACCAATAAGGGTCTATTGCTATAGAAAGCTCTCCACACAAGAAAAGTCTAGAAAAAGAAGAAAAAAATAGTTGTTTGCAAGAGAAGGAAATAAATAAATAAAAATAGAAAAAGAGTATGTGTTTGAATATGGAAAAGTGGTTAAAGGAGTGTCAAGTTTATGGTAGAAGCATTCAAAGCTTAGATCATTTATCTAAAGCTTCACTCTATTGTTTTAAGACTCTAATGCATTGTTATTTGGATTGGATTGCGTGATGTTTTTGCATGTTAAAGTGGTTAGGAGTCTCTCTTGCTTTTGTTGACCTTGAAAGTTCACCTTTGGTCCAATATCTAAGATCATGATTGAGTGATGATTGTTAGCGTTCAATTTTTTATTGAGTTGTATGGTTATGGGTAGTGTTTGGTTGGGGATAAGCAAAGTTCAAGTGTGGGGTATTTCCAATGACACTCAATTTATATTATTTATATTTCCCATATTTGATACATTTTCACCTTCTATCAATGCATCTTTAATTTCTCATTTATTTCATATCTAAATCATAATTATTTGATCAATGAGCATTTGATAGACCTAGATTGTATTTTGGTATCCTTTTATGCCTTTTTGGTATTTTTTTTTGTTCTATTCAAGGTGAAATATAATCTATGAGGATTTGGATCAAGCATTGAATGACTCTGGACCAAAGAAGCTAACAAGAGAATAATTTAGAGTTTTCATGTAAAAGATGAGGTCCAGTGATTGTGAAACCTAATGGTAACCACGAGTAGAGCCCAAGATGATCTCAATGGAGAAAGACTCGGTCCAAACCAGAACAAGAACGTAACCAGTGGCGGCTCAAGGTGGGGTCCAACTGTCGCCCAAGCAGACTTGGTCAAATCATGGGGAAATCTTTAGGAGAGGTTGCTTATGGGCAAGGGAGGTCATCTCATGAAGAAAAGAGAGTCGCGGTTCCCTCCGCTACTCATGGGCCCAAGCCCAAGCGTGGTCTACAATGCTTTGCTTCGTCCCCAAGTCAGAGAGACTTATACTAGTAGTTTTAGGAAGGTTTTGGCCTTGTTCTAGCATTGTTAATAGGGAGCTAGAATCATTAGTTGAGTAGGTTGCACAATTCCATTCAAAACTTCTATAGACACTCTTTTCAAGTGAAAGCTTATCATTTGTAGGAGAGAGTGGAGCTAAGGAAATGCCTTCATCATCGATGGTGGTACCCTTCTTCTCTTCTATGTAAGCTAGTTTGAAATTGATTTTGTAGGAATTGGAACTCATTTATCTTTATGTGTATGATTTCATATTATGTTTGTGTTGATGCTTATGATTTTCGATGCCCTGTATGTATGCATTGATGCTTTACTTTGCGATGCCTATGTGTTTGTTATCAATACTCATCTAGTATTAATTATTTCTTATCGTTGATGCTTATTATTCTTTAGTATACTACTATATGCATTGTGCTTATTATCATCTAGGTTGTTAATAAATCACCCACTAATGATACCCCATTGATGTTACACGAGTATAGATGGAATGATTAACCATTTATACCTCGAGTAGTATCAATGCTTCATTGTTAGATCATCGATGATAATAGACCATCGATTATGGCTCAGGAGGAACTGGGTTAATCATATGATATCCTCACTTCTATGCTCTTCATTGATTAGGTGATGGCATGAAGCGAAAGCAGGCATTAGCTAGTCAAGTTCCTATAGCTTGTGGCGAAAGCTCGAGTCGGGTGGTCTTAGTACAAGGGATAGAGTGATGTTATAGATGAGTCATCGGTTCATGATATGAATGAGTATCGATATGCGTGCTAACTAAAATCGAGCATGCTTTTCTATTTAATAACGTATATTTACTTTTATGCATCTATATAACTTGAAAACCCCCTAAATAACTTTTACTTTTCGTGTTTTCTTTACTTGAATAAAACCCCTAAATGTCTTTCTTATTTTTGATTGAGCATGGATGGTATGATGTGAGTAGTTATACATTAGAAGACCTTGTTGAATATGAACCTAGGGCATTCTAGGATTTTTATCACTAGCATGTTTGTTGCATCAATACTCCTTATTTTCAGTGAGTTGTATGATTCTGAGTAGTGTTTGCTTGGGTACAAGCAAAGTTCAAGTAGATAGGCAATCCAACTGAAAGTTTAGGATACCAAACACTGGTTTAAACCAAACTGAGCACCTATTATTACCTTCATAGATAATACGCATATGCATACTATCATACTTATATCTCCATTCGGCTACGATTAAGGGCTTGGTATAATAGACTGATGTTAACATGGAGGTCTCAGATTCGGAGGGGCAAAATGCTTTCATCCGTGAACGACAAATAGTGGAGAATGTCTTACTAAGACATGAGCTAATGCACTATTTGAAAATCAAAACCAAGTTAAAAAAGGATACATGGCTCTAAAGGTTGACATGGAAAAGGCCTATGATGGATTCGAATGTACATTTGTCCTCGTGGTTTTGGACAAATTGTGTTTTAACTCTACCTGGCAAAGCTGGATCTAGGAATGTCTCAGCTCTGCGTCGTTCTCGGTCCTCATGAATGACACACCCTCGGGGTTCATTGCACCCTCTAAAGGTTTGCGACAGGGGGGCCCGTTGTCCCCTCTCCTGTTTGTGCTTTGTACGGAGGGTTTGCAGCGCTCCTTCGGAAGGCCATTTCTGCAGGGAAGCTAGAAGGGGTTAAAGTTACCTCTCGTGCTCCACGAATCTCACATATGTTTTTTGAAAATGACTCGTATTTATTCCTCATAGGTTGTCTGCATGAATGTGAGAATCTGATTGATGTTTTAAATGAGTACGAGGATCTCAGTGGGCAAACGGTGAATTTGGCGAAATCGGTGGTATGCTTTAGTAATAATGTTGCTCTTCCAAACCAAAAATTTATTGCTCAGATTCTAGGAGTTGGGGTTGTGGGGGTCCAGGACAAGTATCTATGATTGTCCACACTGGTTTCCCAGTCTAAGATGGCTACGTTCCGGTTTTTGGAGGAAAAGATTCTGAGTCGGCTTCAACCTTCAGGGTTGGAAGGAACAAACACTATCTTGGGCTGCTAAGGAGACATTGATTAAATCAGTCACTTTGGCGTTCCCGTTACATGTTATGTCCTGCTTCAGACTTACTCTCTCTCTCTCTCTCTCTCTCTCTCTCGTCTCTTAGACAGACAAGTGGCTAGATTTTGGTGGGGTGTTGAAGGATGGCATTCCCGGATGCGCTGGATGTCCTGGCGGAATATGTGTTGAAGTAAGCACGATGGCCGCATGGGATTTCGTCGTTTCGAACATTTTAATTAGGCGTTGTTGGCTAAGATTGGATGGCGCATCATGGACGAACCCCATTCGCTCCTGGCACAGGTATACAAAGGGAAATATTTTCCTATTGGGACTTTCCTCACTGCCACTACAATGTCTCGGTTGTCATAGGGCTGGCAGAGTATCCTGTTTGGCCGTTAGTTATTAGTCCATGGCCTATGATGGCAGATTGGAAATGGGGGTCAACTTCTTTGCTGCACTCACTGTGGATTCCTCGATTACACCCCCATGCCCCTATGTATAATCCGCAGGTTTTGCCAATGTATGGATATCCTAGGGTAGTGGAGGTGATTTGCGAAGGGGAGGGTCGGTGGTGTGATCTTAAACTTAGCCAATGGTTTGACCTAGCAACTTGTCGTGCAATCAAAGCGATTCCGCTTCCTCGTCAGGATGTGGAGCATATGTTGATCTGGCATGGCACGTGTGACGGGGTGTTCACTGTTAAGTTGGCTTATCATTTTGTAGTCTTGTTAGATAAGCAGGATTAGGGATGGCAATGGGTCGGGTCGGGGGCGGATAGTGCATATCTGTTACCCTACCCAATGTAGTTCGGGTTTTACCCATACCCGTACCCACACGAGAAACGGGTAGAAAATCAAAACCATGCCCATACTCGTTCGGGTTTCGGGTATCCACGGTTATCCATGGGTAATAATTTCTCCTTATAATTCCAACCAATATCTTAACATTCACACGTATACTCACATTACGTAAGAGGAAAAGTACGATAATAATTCACTAAAATGAAGAAAATTAATTAAAACAACATAATTTCATGAAAATAATATATTATATGCTAAATATAAAATATTCTAGAGAAAAATAATGATTATTTCTAGACAAAATACATATGCATTTGTATAATCGGGCTGGTTAGGGTTGGATAGTGAGATAACCATGCTCACCCATTACCCGCAATATTCGGGTTCGGGTTTTACCCGTACCCACAAAAAATGCTTCGGGCTCGGGTTTTACCCTACCCGATTAGGTCGAATTCGGGTGGATATCCACGATTACGAATATTTTTGTCATCCCTAAGCAGGATGGCCATTTGCGATCCATAGCTAGTTGGATAGATAGGTCGAGCTGGATTTGCTTGTGGGACACACATATTCCACACAAATTAACAGTATTCCTATGGTAAATTTTCCATCGTATCCTTCCAACGACAGAAGCTCTTATTGAGAAGGATGTTTCTGATGCTCTCTAGGTGCCCGGTTTGTTAGGCGGAATCAGAAACAATGGAGCATTTGTTTCTAAATTTGCCCAGTGGCTAGGGCTTTATGGGATCATTTGGGGCTCGAATATCTTGGCCAAAGTTTGCCTCGTCACACGTTTCCACTTTTCCTTAAGAAGTTGATGTTATTGATACACTAACCTCAAGTGTTTATGGCGGTTTTTGCCGCCCTATGGAGGATCTGGTGCTCACAAAATTGGGTTGTATTTGAGGGGGGAAATTTGGTATCCCTGCTCTAATGCGGCAATTCCACCAGCAATACCAAGAGTGGATTTGTTTGGCAGTTAACCATATTCAGCGATCAGCCATCCCACAAGCTCAATCTTTGAGTGTCGGCCAGCCGAATTTTGTTGTCTGTATGTGGGATGGGGCTACTAAGAGTGAGTCTCACTCGGCAGGTGCAATGATTGTAATGAACGAAGGTGGGCAGATCATCTTGGCTAGAGCCTAGGAGGGTGCAGTTTGATGGTATTGATGATCCAATGGTTGTCGAGTTGCTCGTTCTTTGGGAGACTATTCTCTTGTGTCTGAAGAACGGGTTTACAGAGACGATTTTTGAAGGCGACGCCAAAATGGTCATTGATAAAATTAAGCAGGCCAATACTAGTAATAATTGGATTGGTGTCATCCTTGAGGAGGTTGTGCGGTATTTCACGGAGTATGATGGACTTAATGTGCAATTTGTAGGTCGGAGTAATAATAGGGTAGTTCTAGAAATGTCCTTTCATTTTACCTGACTACATGTGATTTTTTTGATTTTCTTGCTTGGTTAAATTGCAGGGTGTAATGATCTCTTGCTCTAATCAATATAAATGATTATATTTTGTAAAAAAAAAACAAACATAAATCGCCATTTTATGAAAAAAAACATCGGTTGTCAGATAAGTTGTATTGCTAAATTGGTTTCCTTATCAAAAAGATAAGTCATATTGCTGTACCGCCCAATGTACTAGTCCTATAGCATAACAATAGTTTCGGGGAACACATTAGCTACTCTTCTTTTAACAACGGCTGCTTAGCTTTGTACATCTATTAACGACCTTCAACTATAGTATACATCCTCGTCAAAATACCATCAAAACAATCGTGGGGGAAAATGTACTTGCATCAACTGCATTGCTTCTCCTTCCAAAGCTTCAACTGCTGGTGTTAGGAGTCGTACCAACGCTAGCCCATTTCCCAATTACAGAATTTGGAGATAGTGGCAAGTGCTGAACAGCAACACTCTTCAACGACACAGCTTCATCTGATTCGTCCCCCATTCTCTGTATGACCTGTAGAGTAGACAACACTTGATCCATTGAAGGCCTCAAGTCCTTATCACTCTGTAGACACTGAAATGTCAGCTCTGCTACTGCCGTCACCATCTTCCTTATCAAAGCATCCGACTGAAACCCCAAACTCTGGTCCACAAGCTCGTGCAGAGCATCGCCTTGGATCTTGTTGATCGCCATGTTAGACAAGTTGATCTCATGTCTATGCCTCGTGATATCGACAGCTGGCATCGATGAAATGAGCTCAGCCAAGACCACTCCAAAGCTGAAAACATCGCTCCTGCTAGTCAGCTGGTAGAACTGGTGATACTCGGGATCAACATAACCGGGTGTCCCCTGTGGAGCAGTGGAGACATGGGAGACATGGTTAGGAAAGAGCCGGGACAGCCCAAAATCGGCTACTTTGACAACAAAATTCTCATCCAGGAGAATGTTGTTTGTCTTCACATCACGGTGAATGATCTCGGAGGCGTGGAGATATGCGAGGGCACTTGCAGTGTCCACGGCGATGTTCATTCGAGTGGACCATGGCAGGGCTCCAGGTTTTGCCTTTTCACCATGGAGATGATCTGCCACCGTGCCGTTAGCGATGTACTCGTACACTAGCAAAAGCTCGCGGCTGTGGCGAGATGTGCATCCGTATAGGGAGACCAGATTAGGATGGCGCAAGCGCGTTAGAATCTCGATCTCATTCATGAACTGTTCAACTCGCTTGTAATTGCTTTCGTATAGGCGTTTCACTGCAACAGCTCGCCCATCCTTGAGTTTACCTATTTGGGAAATGACAGGTTTTGTAAGTGGGAGAAAATGGAATTTGACAAGATTGTTGTGCTAACTGAGTTATATCAATTACCATAATATACAGCACCAAAGCCTCCATCTCCAAGTTCATAAGAGGAATCAAAGTTATTGGTGGCCTCCTCAAGTTCTGCATACGTGAAGACCTGAACACCAAAATACTTGCTAGCACCCTTCTCAACCTCCAATTTTGAAGAAGGGTCTGAAAATATGCTTCTAGATAACGAGGAAGTGGTAGCTGAATATTGTTGTTGCCTTCTATGCCGAAGATAAAAGAGGAAGAGAATGAGCATTATGACCACACTCCCAACAGCCGTTCCAACACCTGGATAAAAGGGTATTGACAATCATTCTCAAACTCAATCTTTGCTCAGCGTTGGAAGCTATTAGCAAGTGATACTCAATGGAACAGGAACAGAAATTCATGGCAGCAGCTTACCTATCGCAACCTTCACCTTGACATTTGGATCACTGCCTGCATCACAAGTCAGAATAACAACAAATTAGCGGCCAAGATACCTTTTTGATGCAAACAAAACAAGAGATTCAAGATCAAGCAAGGTAAGTAACATAAGAGAACAACTAACTCATGAAGACTTCCTCAAAGTGAATATTCCAAAATGCAGAGGTTATGGCTATCTAATTTTATCAACAGTTCATGCACAAGAGTATAACAGGAGAAGGTTATGGCTATCTAGTATATGAAAACGAAGGAGGTGATGAGCAAGGCCAGATGAGTCCCAGGAGCTGAAACAATGCCCCGGAAGTTAGTTCCGCCGCAAATGTGCTACAATTCACCGTCTTTTTCTTTTCTTGGACCAAGTCTAATTCAATCAATGGTTATTCACTGGAAACCAATATGAAAGCATATACCCAATACGCTGACTTTTTGGATTCTTGAATAAGACCCACAATTCATCAACACCCACAAGTTTCTGAAAAGTCATAAAATTTCACTCAACAATTACCAATAACACGACTCCTTGTTTAACGCGTTGAGAATGAACAAGCAGCAGCAGCAACAGCAACAGTGAAGTGGGTCGGTGACCATGAGGGCAAAAACAAACAAATTGATTATGTCAAACCCGCACCGCCATCCATTGCTTTGACGATGCTGGCATCCTGCAATTAATGGCAGTCCAGGTCCACACAAAACCCATCTTCAAAATCTCGCTGTAATCACCTACCAGAACCGCTGCTAGCTATCTCCCGCCGGCGGACGGAGGCTCCACCACTTGCTGGCACCTAGCTTTCCGGATTTCTTCACCAACCACCTCAGGTAGCTGATCGAAGAAGACGGCGAAAGAAGAATGTGTGGAGTTAGTAGAGCAATTAATTGGGTAGGAATGGGGAAAGGGATTCAGATCCCCAGGAAGAGGCCAACAGCTACAATTGTGGGAGAGATTAGGAGTGTTGGATGAGGTGTGGAAGGGAGTTCGATCGAGGGTGAGGTCATGGAGAGGAGGATTGGAAGAATCGCCGCCGGAAGAATTCATGATCAACCAACACCCAAAATGGGTAGCTTATGAAAGGGCCACCGTAACTGGAGGATCTCGGAGGGATGGCAAAAAAAACACTATTTATATGTATCCACTCGCAAATAACACAGTCAATGGGTGATTAATGTGGGTGGATTGCGGTTCATTCGCGGGTCATTTGTATGACCCGCATCCTATTTTTATATGGAAAAATGGTTTTTCTTGTAGTATCGAATATTCTTCATATTTTCGAACTGTACTATAGTCTGCCATATACTTCAAAAGGTGGAGAATAAAGAATAATTTTGACTACTATTATTGGTTATTGTGTTGTGCAATATCCATTGGCACTATAGTTTGACCATATACTCATCATATACTCATCACATGTTGTTTGTTATAGTATCGAATATTCATCATATTTTCGAACTGCACTGTAGTCTGACCATATACTTCAAAAGGTGGAGAATAAAGAATAGTTTTGACTACTATTATTGGTTATTGTGTTGTGCAATATCCATTGGCAATGGATATTGGTATGCAAATTATTGTTAATAGTCATTAAATAATGAGATACAAACTATAAATTATTAATTGTATCAAAATCACAAATTATTGATGTAATCTTACTAATTTGCTATGAACTTATTATAAATGTTAGTCAATTTTCTTAATGGCTAGTTGGAGAATTGCTTTTGCGGGTTAACCCGCCACCCACCCAACTCGCATAAGTATGTGGGCGGATTGCGGGTCACATATATTCCAACCCGCTAGTAAGCGGGTGGGTCAATTTTAGACCAAAACCCACCCAACCCGCCCATTGCCCACCCTTACTCTAGAATAAGGTTTGGTTTGATTGTTGTATTTGAAAATAAAGGTTTTGGATTTTGAAAATCTTTGGATTTATGGTGGATTTGTTTTATTTTGTATTTGAAAGATAACATTGTTTGTTTAATTGAATTTTTGTCATGGATTTAGTTCATTTGGTATTTGGGTCTCAAAAATTTGTCTGTCATAATGTGGTTTTGCAAATACCAAATGAAATGTAGTATTTGCAAATACGTGGGGTCCACGGATTTGGAGCTAAAAAAAATGGTCAAAATCCGTGGGCCTCACGAATTTGGGCCCCACGAATTTGCATACCTTAACAAACAATGGTTTTGGACAAAAAATATGATGGTTGGTATTTTGAGACCAAATACAACTAGGGATGGCAATGGGTCGAGTTGGGGCGGGTTTTGTCAAACCCAAACCCATGGGTTTATCCGTAAAAAAAACCCGAGGTAAAACCTGCTGGGTTTGAAAAACTCAAACCCAACCCGCTGGGTATCCGCGGGTTCATGGGTACCCGTGGATTTTTGTGGTAAAAAATTTACAATAACAAGTTTCTTTCAAAATAAAAGTTTAACATCAATTTTCTCATACAAATTATTCATACAAAAAACACTAATCTAGAGCATACAAGTAAACCGCAAATGATCAATATAAATTGTTCAAAATTAAAGATAAACATCTATAAACCACAAGATTAATTGAAAGTTTCTTCCTCGTCAACTAAGTTTCTTCACTCTCCACTGCATAATATCAACTTCATTCTAAACAATTAGAAACAACAAATTATACATGTCTCCACAAACATAAAGAATATTAGTTGTTTAAGGAAGATATATTACTTAGAATATTAAATATACCGGGAAAATAATTATATGTGTGTGGGCGGGTACCCATGGGGCGGGTTTACCTAAACCCAAACCCAACCCAACCCGGTGAATAGTGTAGCGGGTTTAAACCCGAACCCGGCCCAAAACCCGTAAACACGGATTTTACCCGCATTGACCGAGTTGGGTCGGGTGGGTACCCGTGGGTTCGGGTTTTGTTGCCATCCCTAAATACAACATCCAAATTCCATTAGCAAACAACACCTAAGTGAATAACTAAATCTAGATCTTTGTATTTAAGTTGCCCCTGAAAGTGTTTTTTTAATTTTTCTTTTATATAGAAACCGGGAAGTGTGCCCGTACAATTTAGCTCTGAGTGTTTGTTAATTAAAATATTTTATTTTTCTATTTGTTTTAATCAGCTATTTTTTTTTTGTTCTAATTCGAATTTTGAATTTTCTTTACATATTGAACTAGTTTGTTGTGGTTTACAGAATGAGATCCAATTTTAACATTTTTTTAGAAAAAAAAATCCATACCTTTCGTTACCAATTTCATATCATATAGTACCTCATTCATTTTAAGTCGTTTTTGAAAAGATTTGCACAAAAACACTGAGTTCATCATGATATATTGGATCTACAAATTTCTGAGGGGAAAAAATGCAAGATCAAAAAATACCACATCATACCACCCTGGTATGGGGGTGGTATCTTACGGTACACAATATTGAAAATCGTAAATGTTTAGTATACTACTACTATCATGTATTCAACCATCATAATGTTCATACCACCACTTTCATATCATATGGTATGCTCTTATTTAATACCAATCAATACCAATATGGTATAGACCGGTAAATAAAATTTTCAAATATATATCAAAATGGGTATCATTTTGATATAGCAAAGAAATTTAAATTCCCACTAAAACAAAAGAGAAGTCTTGTGTTAAGATTTTAAGGGGGAAAGATTAAAGATTTTCCATAAGTCAGAGAGGTGCTGATGTGACGAATTATGGTTGGGTAATACATAAAGCACAGTTACTCACCATAAAGAAGATTTGTTTAATTTATTTTGGGTATTACATATTATATCCAATTTGTTAGTTTAACATCTAAATTAAACTCACATTAGTGAAAATTCAAAAGACAGTAAATATGGGATTATAATATAGTGTTTGCATTATTTCTAGTTATGAAACAAATACAAAGACGAAACACAAAATTAATGATATAATCGATATTGTTTGATTGTATGTCCAATTATCTCGACCTAAATAAACTCATGCATTTGGATCGGACATAAATGGGTTTTGAACATTCAAAAATTCTAGTCAAATTAACAATTGTGAAATTTGATAAACTCTACAAAACTAATCATTAATACTTTTACCCTACTCATATTTTGCTCTACGTTAATTACGCTCTGTTTGGCAACAAGGGGGGTGCAAATTGCAGGAGGGTGCAAGTTGAGGGGCAAATTGCTGGGGGGTGCAAATTGTTGGGGGGTGTAAGTGGAGGGGTAAATTGTTGTTTGGATGAAAAAGTAGGGGGGTGCAAATAAAGTGCAAAGTAAGTAATTATATTATTTTAAAATTATAAAATAGATTTTAAAATTATAAAATAGATTTTAAAATTATAAATATTATCATAAAATAATAAAATAAATATTACTATATAATAATAAATATACTTTACTAAAAATAGTTATTATATAATAATTCTCAAATAATAATTAATTATAACAATTGTAATAATCATTGATCGAGCGATCTCAAAACTCGAAGCTCAACTCCTAACTGGTCATCCTATATAGGGTTTTCGTGTCTAGTTTAATCTTAAATTGTCAAACTTAGTCAAACACGTTCGAATTTGTAAGTTTTAACTATTTAGTCAAATAAAATGAGTTAACCAAACAATTTCTCTCTATCTTTTCCACAAACACCTTGTATATCTAATTTTCAATGCAAATTCGATTCAACCAAGAGATCTAGATTTGACTTGACGAACATTTATAAACTTGTTTCCAGAGTCAAATGGTCAACCCCGAATAATGTTTACATTAATGATATTTATAAAAAGAAGAAATTGATAATATTAATTATTATATAATTATATATAACACAATTAGAAAAACAAAATTCCATAATTCCCCCCTCCCCCTCTCTTCCTTCCTTCCTTTGCACCCCAATTCGGGGGGTAAGCCGAAACAGTAAATTTGCACTCTCGTTTTGCACCCCCCTACTGTTCCAAATTAACCAAACAGGTGCAAATGTGTTGGAAACTGTGTTTACCCCTCACATTTGCACCCTCCTCCCATTTACCCCTCTTCCCAAACAGAGTGTTAGGAAAGACCGAAGCGTCAAAGAGCAAGCTGCTGTGAGTGTGAAACTGACAATTCAAACTCAAAAAGGGAAGAAAAGATAAAAAGAATCGATGGGCAGACCGAAAAGACGGAAATACATACCTATTGATACAGGGCAGCTGAGTGGTTCGGATCCGGCGAGGCAGTGACACAAGAAACTAGACCCTCCGGCCGCCGTGCCGCACAACCCGCCGGACACGCCACACTGCTCGCACAGCACTTGGTATCCTCCATAGCTATACGACAAATTGACTCCACTATCCAAAACTCTCTGCAGCTGCGCCTCCCCATCCCTCCTCCAGATTCCACCGTCAACATCCGCCGGAATCGGAAAAACCACTCTCCCTGTGCATGACTCAAGCAGCCCTCCCAAATCCCTATCCCTCACAACCGTCTCGTTCGCGTAGAACGAGACCGAATCGCCGGCAGCCGAACACGACAGCCTCGTATCCGGAATCAACGCACCTGACGGCGACGGGCAGCCGAAGAACAGGGTCAGATTCTGAAGGGCAGCATCTTCGAGTGGGGAAGGAGCGAGCAGCGTGCTGCTCAGAGTTGCGTTGATTCGCGGGCAAGCTGTGTATCGATAATCTGGCAGGGCGACGGTCAGCGTTTTTGAAGACTGATTCACCGCAATTAGGCGGAGATGCAGGGACTCTGTTACGACGAGAACAGGGTGCTGATTTCCGTCTCCGCATCCGATCAGCTCGAAATCCGGATGCCCGCACTCTCGCCGCCGGTGATCGGTTGCCCAGAAAGGATAGGAAAGGTTGGTTCTGTTTCCGCAATCGAAAGGCTGCGAGCAGACCGTGAAGTAGTCAATAGCTTCGTCCCCGGAAACAGAGGCGATGATGATTGGGATAAAGGAGGAGAAGGCGAGCAGCAGCGTGAAATCCATTTTCTGAAGAAAGATTGATGAAAGGAAGGAACTCTGCTTTGAATTAATGTGCTGAGTAGTTGAGGGAGATTTGTCAGTGTGAAATGCTAGTCTTGTTTTTTTTTTTTTTTTTCTCTTTTTTTCTCCCAAACGGCAACTAGTCCGTCTTTTATTAGTCTTTGTATATTGCATTGACTTCCTTCCTTACATCCCCTGCTTGTAATTTTCGTACGGGGCCAAGGTAATTTCTCAGCAGCTGGTTGGCTTTATGCTCAGCTGCGTTACGTAATTTCCCAACCCACCCGCCAAAAGAGTTTGGTCCACTATCTATACGGCTCTGCCCTTCACTTCCATAAAGACTAAAGAGAGGAAGAGACAACAAACTACAACTGCACTTCTCATTTCTCTCATCTTCATGGGACCATTTTCTATAAAATAATTCATTGATTTCCCATTTTCAGCACTCAGACCGGTTCAAAGTATGACTGACTTCATTTATTTGAAAAAGACACAACTAGCAAAATGCTCTTGTCGGGTGATTTTTTCCAAAATGCTAGAGTTACCAAAAAAATCTCTTAGGGTCGTTGAAAGTTGCCATTGTTTTGTTGACATTGTCATTATGCATGTATTGTTTACAATGCATCGTTTTTTTGTTTTTTAGTAGAAACAATACATGGATTGTTTCTATGATGTGACAGAAACTATCACTCATTTTGAGTGATTGTTATATCTCAACTTTTAGTTGTGATTGTTGAGATAGTTGAGTTGAGATTGTTTTGTCTCAGCTTTTAGCTGATGCGACTTTATCACACATACCAAACGTTGTATTCTACAATGCATCAAATTCGACAATACATGTATAATATTATACATGCATTCTCAACAATACATCTATTTAACAATCGCAACTTTCAAACGACCCCTTAATATCATATTTGCACTCAAATTTCAAAGTACTAGAGTTTGGGTTAGTTTGCTTGATACACAAATGAACCAAAAACTGGTCTGGTGAAATATAAAGCGCTTAATATAGATCACCTAAATATGAAGTGAATCACTCGTTGTTTGCTCGAAACAAAAGTGATTCTGGTGGTTCGCACCGCAGTTACGCGATTTTCAGATTGAATGATGCAGAGATTGCTTCAGACGAGCGCAATAGACGACACCATGCTACAGGTCGCTCAACCGGAAGGGAATCCGCGTGTTTGATCACTTAATGGCCCAATAATATCGACGCAAATTGCTGAAGATAGAAGCGGACAACAGTTGATTGTTTTGACGATCAGCGGTCCATGTCGTTTGCTCTTATCTTCCGTGATCCACTCCGATCCCCTCACAAACCTCATAAAATACCACCCCTCATATGCATCATTACTAACGACATTCCACTCTTCTCTCTCTCTTCTTTCCACCACGAGAGGAAAATCTAAGTATGCTTTATGGTTACACCTAAGCAATATCTCCCACAATAAATAAATAAAAAAAGTTTTACTTGAGTTGGTTAATTAAACCACTCTCGCCCTTTGAGGACTGTTGATGAACCTCTGTCCAACCTCCGAAAGAAAATGGAAGAAGAAGCTCTAACGATATTTACTCATATTCCCCATTATTGTACTTATTAGGGTTACTAGTATTTTGTACCTTCTATTATTGCAAATTAACAAAGTACTCCTCTACTAAATTTTTGGATAAACATACCTTTCTAATATCAATGTAACGAATATATTCTTCCGTCTAATTTTCCTTTACATGGTTGTTATAAAGAGGTTGGAAAATGACCGAAATAACCCTCATTTTCCTTTAATTCATTTTATTATTTTTTTATCACACCCAATTTAAAACTCCATCGTCAGTCAATCGAGTCTCCAGTAGGGATGGCAATTTACCCACCCATGGGTAATTTTGCCCAAATCCAAGTAGACCCATCTATTATGGGTAGGGTTTGGGTGATGTGTGTATGGGTTTGGGGTTTGTATATGAGTTTGGGTTATATATGGATATTATCTAAATGGGTATGGGTTGGATATGGATATCCATTTACTTGAGGGTGTCTTAACTACACATGCAAAAATTGGACTTATTTGTAAAACTTGAAAATTTTAGGTACCAAAATGTAAGACCAAAAAAATTTAGGTACCAAAACGTAATTTTCCATCGATATTTTGAGGACTTATATGCAAAAAAAATTAAATTTAGGTACTAAATATGCATATCTATTAAGTTTAGGTACCAAACTGTAATTTGTATTTGGGCATGGGTACAAACCCAAATCCATTTGTTATAAACCCAACCCAACCCAAAGTAAATGGGTATGAGTACAAACTCATCAAACTTTACCCATATCCATATATTTGGATTTCATACCTAACCCAATTGAGTTGGATAGTAAAATACCCATGAGTATGAGCATAATTGCCATCCCTAGTCTCCAGTCTCCACCCGTAAATCAGTCTCGTGGCTCCTCTTAATTCCTTCGTGTCCCCTGAAGACCCCACACCCATGGACTCCGGCGACCGCAAAGCAGCTGCCGGTGACTACAGATTGATGATCTTCCGAAGCCAAAGATTTATGAATGATTTGATGGGAATAAGGAGTTTATTTGTATCCAAGTCTCGTTCAGGGGTACTGATGAATATTATTGCCGAAATGATGATGATGATGATAATCAGTACTGCCGGAGAAAATGAAGTGTTGAATGGAATATAGAAATAGTAGATCTAAATCCCAACTGCTGCTCTCCTACTTACCACCATCATTATTTGTTGTCGAGTTCTTCTACGACGTCACAGATAGAGATACAATATGTCTGACTAAAAAATTCCATTTTCATTATTAGTGGCGTACTTAGAATTTCACTCAAGGTGGGTCCAACGTAAAAAAAATTACAATATATAATATAAATTTTAATAATATTTATATGATCAACGATATGTTTCATAGTTTGTCCATTGATATTCCTTTGAGGATAGAAAATTCAACGCCAAATACACTTGTGTAGCCAAAACTTTGGAGTTTGTGACAATAATAGCCACATTTGGGAAAATACCAATAATAGCCAGAATTTTGAAAATTTGATGACAATAATAGCCATTTTTGTTACATAATTTAACGGCGTCAATGACACCGTTAGTCAATTTAACGGAATGCTTACTTGGCTGCCAACTCACCCACTCTTTCGTTTCCACCTCAGCATTTACTGACAGGTGGACGACACGTCATTACAAAAATAAAAAAATTGGTCAAAATATTCTATGTAGTAATGTGTTATCTTTTTATTATTAATAATTATATATAAAAAACACAAAAAATGAAATGTTTCATCTTCTCCAATCTCTCTTACTCCCCTTCTTCATCTTCTCCAATCCAACTCCCTGCCCCCAATTTTTCGAGAATCAAATCCAGTATCTCCTCTCTCTCTTAATCTCATTCTTAATCTTCTCCGATCCAACTCTCTGCCCCCTATTTTTCGAGAATCAAATCCAGTATCTCCCCTAGTCTCTTCTGCCTGGTCCGATTTTCCACCTCCGATCTTGATCTGTGAATAATGAAAACAAAGTAAAAAACAAATAAAGCAAAAACTAAAAACAAGCATCTGTGCTGGTCATCGAGATGCTTCAGCTTCCTCATTCGCCACCGCCGCAAAGATTGCTTCGACTATATTGTCTTTCTCTCCCCCTCGTCCATCACCAACCGCCAGCGAAAAATCCCTCCGTTAAAAAATCCAACTAAAAAACTAGAAACAATCGTAATTATGGATCTGGAAATGGCGAACAGAACCCAGAACTAGATCCGGCGCTTCGAATAGTGAAGACTAGATCCGGCTTCGCCGCATCTTCTCCGCTGCAACTTCTCATTCTCCTTCGCCAAGACAGAGGGCGGCAGGGGTATACCGCGCCAAATTTCAAGTCGTCGCCGGAACCGCCGCTAGTGACAGCGAGAACCGCCACCTCTGAACTGTGGATGCCTCCTTGCCGAGTGCGGCTCCAGCGAGGAACGCTCTCCTCGCCTCCCGCAGATCCATCTTGGTCGCCTCGCCTCCCAACCCTCTTTCCGTCATCGAGGAGGATCGGTCTCGGTCATGTCGGCGGTGAGGATTGTGATGGATGGAGGTGGAGAGTTGGGGTTGGCGGCCCATTTCAGGGCTTGGGTGAGCTTGGAATGTGCATATGCGGAGCTTGGTGAGGAGGATTGTGATGGACGAAGTGGAGATTTGGGGTTGTGCTCGGCGGCGGCAGGTGGTAGGAGGGGATAGTCGCTATTTTTATGAGCGGCGATTGGGGAACAGAAGGGGAAAGAACCGAGAGGGAGAGAGAGAAAATAAAAAATATATATAATTTTTTTTTTCTGTTAATTCCAACTCATATTTTTATTGACTAAAAGGTTGACATGTCAGCTTTTCCGTTAGTCCAATCAGCATGTTAACTAACACCGTCAAACAATTGGACCGAAGTGGCTATTTTTGGTATTTCGTCAAAAATGGCTATATTTGGCAAAACCGTAAAAGTTTTGGCTACACAAGTGTATTTGGCCAAAATTCAATGATAAGTTATGAATTTGTAAACTCATAATAAACAATCAGAAATACAGATATATGTAAAACCTAGAGTTATTTACTTAATATACATGATTAATGTGTGTCACAAATCTCTCTACAATATGATAGCAGACAAGTAAAACTAATGAATTTGAGGTGTCGAATTTAAGTATTATAGATTGTTATAAATATTATGAATTTTGTGTTCTAACCCCAAGCCAAGGTGGGTCTCGGGACCTACCCTCTACCAAACTGGCTCCGCCAGTGTTCATAATTATAAAAAAAAGTAAAATATACTTCCATAGTCATAATTTTTACGATTGTGACAAATATAACCACAACTTTGAGGGGAAAATAGCAACTTCCATCCATCCTTTTAATAGTGTCACTTAACGATATGACTAGACTGACGAAAAGTACTGAGTTGGCGAAATTTTGTCAATAATAATATGAGGTGGAATTAGCTGAAAATAAAAATAAAAATAAA